AAGCTTTTTAGTAGGGCCAGCTGGGACAGGACAAGGGGGGATGGCTTTAAACTAAACCAGGGTAGGTTTAGACTGGACCTAAGGAAGAAATTCTTTACACTGAGGGTGGTGAAACCCTGGCAGGGGTTGCCCAGAGAGGGGGTGGAGACCCCATCCCTGGGAACATTCCAGGCCAGGTTGGACGGGGCTCTGTGGGCAATGCTCTGGTTCAAGGTGTCCCTGCTCCTGAGGGGGGGTTGGACAAGATGACCTCTAGGGGTCCCTTCCCACCCAAACCATTCTATGATTCTATGATTTTTCCCATTTCCCGCCCCCGTTTAACACGGAAAAACAGCTCCGCTTCGATTGCGATGGTTTTCCCCAAATCCCAAGAATGAGGAGATCCGTTAAAAAAATAACCCCTCGGACTCGGCGTGTGGGAACCAACCGAGCTGGGGGGGGGAACCAAGCAGGCGCTGCGGCTCCTTGCGCATTCCCAGTTGGGTTTTCAGCCCCAAAACCAAAGGGAAATTGGGGGGGAAAAAGGCAAAATCTTGCCTGCAGCAGAGCGGCTCCTCTCACTTTTCCCTCCACCCGGCGTTTTCAGGCGCTAGGGCAGCACAGAACTTATATCTGTGCTTTTTAAGCGCTAAACTAGTGTTAATGAGGGCACGGTGCCTTTTTTTGGAGCAAAAAAGGGGCTGAGGGAGAGCGGAGCTGATTTTTGGGGGGGGAGGGGGGGGGAATTTACCCTCCGACAAGGCTAAAAACGTACGACAAAGAAAGGGAGCGGCCGTAAAAGAAGCGTCGGGAGGGGACAGCAAAGGGATTCAGCGGCGCCAAAGCCAGCGCCGACATCAGGGAGCCCATCCCTTGCAGGAGACAACTGCGACGTGCCACAAGTGTGACTAAAAATGTAATATTTCCCATTGGAAATGGGAAAATAAAGTGGTGGAATTTCTAATATCTGGAGAGAGAAGCTTTTTTCAGCCCCACCGTGCTTTTTTTTAAAAGCCAGGTTGGCAAAAGCACCCTCTGGAATGGGAGGTGGCGATCGTCTAAATTGGGGCAGTGTATTGGGTGTGCATGGCGAGGGTTTGGTAGCCAAGGGGGGGCTTCTGGGAGAAGCTGCCCAAAGTTCTCCCCATGCCCGCCGGTGGCCAAGGCCATCGGGAACAGCGGGAGCGCCCCTG